TTGTTGTTTCCAGATTTCCTTAGTGGACATAGCTAGGAAATAAGTACTTTAGAAAGAAAAATTAAATCATGAATTCATATGTGATTTCTAGTACAAATTAAAAATGAGAAGATTTTTACTTCTTTGATTTTATGTCTATATCTCTTTTTCTCTTATGCTGAATATCTTGGTTCCTAATGAGAAATACTAACCATTATTACTCAATTGGTGTAGATCCATCCACTCATTTATCCATCCATCAAATTATCTAGCTTTTTTCATCTGTAGTTTCAAAATAATACTAATGCTACCACTAAGATATAACCCACTTTACGGTCAGTTTTAAAGTTAATTGAATTAGAGGCACCTGGGAGGCTTAGTCAGTTAAGCGTCCGACTTTGGCTCAGGTCATGATCTCACGGTTCATGGGTTCGAGCCCTGCATTGGACTCTGTGCTGACTGCCAGCTCAGAGCCTGGAGCCTGTTTCAGTCTGTGACTCCCTCTCTCTCTGACCCTCCCCTGCTCACACTGCCTCTCTCTCTCTCTCTCAGAAATAAATAAAACATTTTAAAAAATTTAAAATATAAAGTTAATTGAATTAAATCTCTCCTAGGTTATGCCACAAACTTAAAATAATACAGTTAGATTCATTTATTTCCTTATTTTCTTTCAATGCTTAAGAATAACTCCTTTAAAAAAATTTTTTTCAGGTGAAACATTTACCTAGTTCCATACAAAAACTATGAAGCAAATTGTAATTTCAAAAGTCCGGGTTTCATCCCTGTCACTTTTCCTTGTTCTCGTCTTCATCCTACAGGTAACCACTTATAATATTTTCCTGTAATCTTTTTTTTTTTTTTGGAAAAATATGAGCAAGTGTATATGTGTATTATGTATACCTGCATGTGTGTATTTATATGTTTATATCTATCATTCCCTTTTCTTATATACTTCTTTATCTTACTATTTGTCACTTAACATATCATAAGGATCACTCCACAGCAACATACAAAGATTTTTATAGCTGTGTCCTCTGTTGTACAAATGTTCACTAGCTTTACCAAACAGATACCTAGTGATAAACATCTTGTGCTTTAACAGAGTTTGCACTGGTGAATGACTGTTTCTCTACAGCCTCACCATTGGATTAGACAATTTTGGGGGTGCCTGCATAGGTTAAATATCTGACTTTGGCTCAGATCATGATCTCATGGTTCATGGGCTCAAGTCCCACATTGGGATCTGTGCTGACAGCTCAAAGCCTGGAGCCAGCTTTGGATTCTATGTCTACCTCTCTCTCTGCCCCTCCCCTGCTCACACTTGTGCGCTTTCTCTCTCTCTCAAAAATAAACATTAGACAATTTTTTGAACTTTTTCTTAATCTTATAGGTAAGAAAAAGTATTGCCCTTAACTTGGAGTCCCTAGAAAACAGGGTCTAAAAGCAGTTCAAAGGAGGGGCACCTGGGTGGCTCAGTGGGTTGAGTATCTGACTCTTGATTTTGGCTCAGGTCATGATCCCAGAGTCCTGGGATCGAGCTCCCCATTGGACTCTGTGCTAAGTGTGGAGCCTACTTATGATTCTCTCTTTCTTTCTCTCTCCCCTCTGCCCCTCCCACTTGCACTCTTTCTGTCTAAAATAACAATAATAAAAAAATAAAAGCAATTCCAAGGAAATGAAGGGATACTCTGCCTGGCAAGCAAGAGTGAGAGAAAAACAAAGTCATAGGGAAAGGAAGAAAACCAAATGCAAGATAGTGAGCTACCTGGCAGGTTACACCTGCGGGTTGCTTGGGGAGGGGGGCATTTTTTGAGGGGCTGGAGAGAAACTTACAATTCTCTGGAATGCTGAGCAGGGATAAAAGCAGGGGCAGAGAGGGTGACAGATGGCCATGATGCACCTTGAACAACTGATGAAAGACTAAGGAACATGTAAAGCAGGAAAAAGAGCATAATTTTTAGCAAGATATACAATGAGGAGAGTTTGGGGAGCAGGGTACTAGTTGGTCAAAGACGGCACCGTCCGGCAGAGGAGCACCGGTTAAGACTGCACTATGCACTGCCAGAGGAAATCAAAGAGGAGGAGGAAATGGGCAAAGAATTCTTAATTAGGTAAGAGTGGGGGGCCTAGAGAGTCTATGATTGTTATCTATGGAGTTTGGAAACCTCCAAAATTTTAAGCAGATTTTTGTGTCCCTAGTATGCTTGTTTTTCCAGGGAAAGGATTTTTAGATCTCACCTTATTCTCAGACAGCTGTGAGCCAAAAAAGAATCAGGAAACCCAGGATCAGTGATAGATTTATGTTGTAAATAGCCTCAATTATGAACTTAGTATAAATCTCGGGTGCTATTCCCCTCTTACATCCACGTTCTCCAAACTCCTGTTGTACGTCCTGCTGCTCATTTTCATATTTAGCTGGTTTTTGTAAGTTTTGGTTTTCCTTAGAGGAACACACTTCACATTCTCCCCAGTCGTCATCAGAAGATGACTTTAAAGTGTTAAAAGAAACTGAGGCATGTTGAGAATTTTGAGTTTATCTGAGGAACACTTGATTTGAACTGGGCAGACTCCAATCTACCAGATAGAAAGGAGCTCGGAGGAGCTGTACCGAATGAAAGACTTTTACAGGCAGAAGGAGTGGGAATAAGGAAAGTAGGATGGGCCAAAAAGCAGACTGGTTCTTGCAAGGTCAGTTTCCTTTAGCGGATGGCAAGGGTCTATCAGGCAGATTGTCTAACTGGTATTGATCAGCCTATTCCTGAGTGACTGGTTTAAGAACCTATTTCTGGGAAAGCCTAAACTGTAATGAAGTCTGGTCTCAGTACAGTGATGTGGTGCATAGCATAAGCAACTCCATTTTGGGCCTATTGTCTTGTTTTTAACAAAGGTCAAGCAAAGTACAAATTAAATGAAGGAAAATCAGCTTAAAAACATGTTGTACAAAACACATGTACATAGACGGATAAGTTACAACTAAACAAATCTTTTTTTTTTTTTTTTAAATCCTTGGCTGCTGACTAACAACAGAAACAGCTTACTGGTTCTCTGTTGCATCAGAGCTCATCCCAAGAGCATAAAGGCCTTACATGAACTCTGCCTTATTATAACCTCATCAGAGAAATTGCATTAGGACACGGATGGAACTGCGGATGCTGACGTGAGTGAAGCAGAGAAGCAGGGCGTTTAGGGGTTTATGGAGCCCACAGGGCAGTCCCAGCCTTATCAGGTCCACCTCCCACCTTCCCTGGCACAAGGCTTCCCCGTGTGTAACACCAGTGCCTCCCACTCCTGGCTGTGACGCATGAAACCAAAGGGAGCATTTTGAGTTCTTTAAAAAAACAAACTTAATACTATTCAGCTGTGCATTGTTAAGATGCTTTGACTGACTTTGCGATTTTCACTTTTCAAATTTATTCCAAACACCATGAAATTTATGCTTTTGGTATGGGACCTGCCTCTTGAGTATTTAGAAAACTTTTTATCTTCCGTGTTAGTTATTTTGCAGAAAAAGACTGAACATTAGCTTTGATCTGTCTATAATGGTACCCAGAAATTCAATTTAATAGTACATTGCTTCAGGAAAGAAACAAAAGTGGAGAGCCATGTAAAGTTAAAAGCCTGGGATAAAGGAAAACTTCTTAAACACCATGGAAAAGTATATTACAAAGAAAACATCTTCTTTTAAAGAGGGGATTCTTGTTATTGAGATTAAAGTAGAATTACAGACCTTATCAAAAAGAATAAAATTCTCTGTAAACTGCTCCCACCAGAACTGAAAGTCCATGAGTAGGAATCTTAATATTTTTAAATAGCTTTATTGAGGAATAATGTACAGACCATAGAATTTACCTCTTTTAACTTCAGGGAGCTGTCCTTTTAATGTCATTAATATAATACAAGAATGACTTCTGACTCTACAGTAGTGTTTCATGTGCAGTTAACGCAGTAAACATTTCATTGTTATTTCCATAAGAAAATCCCAAACACTGGTCTCAATTTTGATAAGAAAGCTTTTAGAATCCTATAAAGACACGTGTCAGAGGTGTGTATGATTAATCAAGTCCATTTGTTATTCAAGTCAAGGCTCTCATGTGAGACTATGAGGTACAGCTTTCCATCCACACGGGAGGTTATGAACCCCCTAGGGTCTGTGTTAGGAGGCAAGGTACTTCTGGTTTGGAGAACGTAGGAAGTGTCAATTGAAGACACTTCATTAAAAAATTTTTTAAGAAAAAACGAACACATTACATACAGCAGATAAAGAGATACTTCATACTTTTGTTATCTATATTATTAGTTGCTTTTAAATTCATTTCTTATTATTTAGATTCTGGAGAGAATTGTGACCCAGGGACTAGGAGATTTGGTTTTAGGTCCTGCTATACTACTTTTAAGGTACTGGCTTATCCTTTTGATTCACTCACAATCTCTGGGGCTTAGTTTCCCATCCATTAATGGGACTAGAATGTCTGCCTTGACTACTTTAGGAAGGTGTGATTAGGAGCAATGGAAATAATGTATGCAAAATATACTCTGTTAGCCAAAAACTGCTGTGCAATTGTATGGTATTACTCTTATTATCACAACTCAAGACAATTTTGTGTACTAATCAAAATAATCTGCAAATAGTTCTAAGTGTCTATCTACACTTGACACTATTTTCTAATTAAAATGTGTAGCATTTATTTCCTTATTTGAATATTTTAAAAAGTTTATTTTGAGAGAGAGAGAGACTGGGGGAGGGGCATAAAGAAAGGGAGACAGAGAATCCCAAGGAGGCTCCATCCCTTCAGCACAGAGCCCAATGCAGGGCTAGATCTCATGAACCCTGAGATCATGACCTGAGCTGAAATCAAGAGCCAGACGCTTAACCACTTGAGCCACCCAGCTCTCACCCAGGCGCCCTGACAGATAAACATTTTAAATGTGAGCATCAGTATGTGTTTCTAGTTTGTGTGAGTGGCATACTGCTTACCATGCAAATAACCTGCTAGTTTCTTTCTTAATAATGTCGTACTTACTAAATAGTGGATGCACTCTCCACGCATGTCCCACCATTGCTGCATTTCATTAAACTGCAAGGAGAAACGTTACACTGGCCAACACTGCGCCCAACATTCGGGTGGCCCTCAGGATTTCCCAGACTTCTGAACTGGCCATTCTTCTCAGTGCGCACTTGAAGAGTGAAAATGCAACCTTGAAGGAAGGCAAAAAGACTTCTTGGTAAGAAAAATACTACCAAAAAACAGAAAAGCAGGGGAAAAAAATAAAATGATCTATAATATTAACAGTCTAGAAGAGACAATTCTTAACACTTTTGTATATAATATTTTATACCACTAATTATTAACATACATATATACACAGCATTTTTTCTATGCCTAGCTATATTTTCTTTTAAATAAAAATAGAATCCTGCATTAAATTATATCGTGTATAGGATTCCAAACATTTGTATATTGTAAATACCATTAACTCTTTCCTATTAGAGTAAACTATTTTTAAATGATGGCATAATATTCTTTTATATATGTAATTAATCTTCCGTTGGAAAATTGACTCATTTATGCCTTTTTTGCTATTAAAAATAATGCTATAATTAATATCATTATGTGTATATCTTTGTGCATTTGCTAATGATTTTCTCAATATTAATTTCTAGCAGTAAAACTACTAGGATAATGATATGGATGCTTTGAAGTGTGCCCAAGTGTCATAGATATTTTGCACAATTGTATCTCTCTGATCATGCACTGGAATGGCTGCTTCTTCACAGTTACAACAATGCAAGAGATTATTATGCTTTATTTTAAAATGAAATAAATAATAAAATGTCCTTTTGCTATTTTTACTTGGGGTTGAAAACCCTTAATTTTTTTTTAATGTTTTATTTATTTCTGAGAGGGAGAGAGACAGCGTAAGCAGGGAGTCAGAGAGAGAGGAAGATACAGAATCTGAAACGGGCTCCAGGCTCTGAGCTAGCTGTCAGCACAGAGCCTGACGTGGGGCTCCAACCCATGAACTGTGAGATCATGACCCGAGCCAAAGTCGGACGCTTAACCGACTGAGCCACCCAGGCGCCCCTGAAAACCTTTTAATAGATTTATTAGTCATTGGTATTTTTTCCTTTTCACATGCTTATTATGTAACATTTTTCTCAATTCATCCCATTAAACATTAATTCAGAAGACCTTATGTAACAAGCATATTAGTTCTTTGTCATATATTGTTAATTTTCTTCAGTTGAATACTTGTTATTTAATTTGGTTTATGGTGAAGCTTCTATTTTTTATATAGAGAAATTTATAATATTTATGTTGTCGCATTTATCTTTTTTCCCCTCAGGGATTTGTCTTTGCATAGATTCTTAGAAAATTCTTTGCCAGGTATAGACTGCATGATCTTACATATAGGTGCAATCTAAAGAAGTCAAATTCATAGAAGTAGAGTATAATGGTGGTTGCCAAGGTGTGAGGGAAACGGGGAGATGTTGGTTAAATTGTGCAAACTTAAAGATGGATAAGTTCTGAGGACCCAAGGTACAGCATGTACCTATAGTAAATAATACTGTATTGTATACCTGAGATTTGCTGAGTAGATTGTATGTGTTCTCACATACACAAGGTAACTATGTGGACTTGATCATGGTATACTTTTCTCAATATGTATGTGTACCAAATCATCACACTGTACTCCTTACATATATACTATTTTAATTATCAATTATACTCAGAGCTTGGGGAAAAAACATCTTTGACACCCCAAGATTAGGCAAATATAAATGAAAAGGGCAGTTCAACAAAGACTTTACATGGAACTGTTTGGGATCCCGAAACGTATTACAATTTTACTCATGTCCTTCAGCACTTGGAGTTTGTTTATAAAGTACTTTGAGGTAAATATGGTTATCAACCATAAATAGTGTCTTTAAAATGATAAAAGTAAGGCTAGACTGGATTTTATTTTTGAAACTTTCAGGAGCTAAAAGCATGGAATAATTCCTTCTAGGGAAAAAGTTGAGTTCAGTTTTGAAAGGTCAAGAATTTACTTTCCAACTTAATTCTTGCTGGCATTTTCACTGACAAGCACCATTCTCAGCAGGCACTGATATTTTCTTATTGTGAGAGAAGTGATTGTTCTTCCTCAGATTTAACCTTTGTTATTTCTCCAAGTACTGCCATCTGCTATTACACAAAAAAGCACTGTACAAAATGAAGAAATTAATGAATGCTACCAGCTCTACACCCAATAACCAGGTAACTTAATTAACGAAGCAGGGTTTCCCATGCTTTTTGCATAGTGAAATGTGCTGAGCAGAGAGCAGAAGTTTAAGTGCAGGATAGAGCCAGATGGGTCTGGAGTCAATTACAATCTCTGCCACATAACGGGTAGATGATCCAAACTGGAGTGCCGACATTTTCACTTTTTAAATGGGGACAAGAATACCTGATATTCCGCAGACTAAGACGATAAAGGTAATATACATAAACTGGCCAGTCTCATCCCTGGCAATTAGTAGGGCTTGTATTCCATCCTGTCTACCTCACTGTCTCAAACCCTTTACCACCTTCATAAAATTCTTTTTGGCAAAAATTTAAAAACAACTTAATATTAGCTTTTTGTAATTTTTATAATCATGCACTTAGAAAAAATTTGTAAAATGACTATAATAAGTATTAAATTCTGAAGTTGTTCATTTAAAACCTCTTCTTTATATGGATAAATGAAATGTTTTAGCTATGAAGAACTGCTAAAATATATTTTTGGCTAAAAACATGGTAACGCAATGCTATATTTAGAGAAACATTTATTTACATAATACAAATAGTTGAATTTTACAAATAGTTCATTTTACAGAGAGATGCTTTGTGTCAGTCAATATATACAATTTGCAGTCAATTACAGTAGAAGCCATATGTAGAATATATACTGTATATTTTCAGTCTTACTAATATAGCAAAGTATAATCTGCTTAATATAGCACCACACAAGTATTCATAACATACTTCCTGCAAATGATAAAGTAGTTATGAATAAAGACTTTGAAGCCATAAGTCAGGGGTCTATTTGAAAGTAAAACTAGGTAGGTTCCACATAAGTGGTATTTTTTGACAGTAAAATAACATTTAAATTATTGCAGTAAACTCATTTTTCCCTCTCTTATGAGTTCTGGTTTGAAAAGTACCATGCTATTAAAGAAAGAGAGAGAGAGGGAGAGAAAAGAAGAGAAATAGCTGAACTAGCAAGAAACGAACTATACTGACAGTGTAGAGCAATTTTGGTTGGAATAACATGTTCTTTACAGCATTGTTAATGATTCTGAATCTATTATCATGTCTGGTCTAGTTAGCTGAGTAATAAATATTTAGTGATCCCTGTACCAATGAACTCTACATGCTGTAACACTAGAATAATAGATAGATGGGATAGTAGATTTCCCCATGGTCGCTCTAGTCAAAAGTAACTTTTAATTCTACATCATGATTAAATAGGCCTGTCAGTGAAAGCAGCAGATCTTAGAATACGGATGAAAGTGATGGATCTTCCTCCCATAAAAATGGACATGGGCACATGAACAATTTTATGTACGGCTTCAGGAGACCCCAGTAGCCACTGAATCCCATCCATGGACATCAGCCTGAGAGCCCTGCAGCTTTGTAATAGCTGCAACTTTGGAGAGGAGGGGAGAATTCTTGTCAAGGCAGGTGAGAGAGTAAGGCCTTCTCTGCCTGGCATATGTAGATAAATCTGGAGAAGGATGAAATAACGTCAATATTTTCATAAATGTTAAATTTATAGGGAAATAATGGCTCATTATAAACTTTCCAGAACAAAAACAAATAGGCTTTATCAACAATAAGGATTTATATTTTATTTTATTATTTTTTTTAAATATTAAAAAATTACTGTTTATCTTTAATTTTGGAGAGAGAGAGGGAGAAAGACAGAGTTGAGTGGGGGAGGGGCAGGGTAAGAGAGGCAGACATAATCTGAAGCAGGTTCAGGTCATGACCTGAGCTGAAGTTGGACCGATTAACCTACTGAGCCACCCAGGAGCCCCAGGATTTGTATTTTAGACTGAGAACTTATGGAGTAGACTCATTTATCACTACTGTTTATAAAGACATGTAAACCTAAATCATATAATCTTTTACTACATATGATTTAATCACTACTCTAAAGACAAATGCAATGACCTTAGTCTAATTATTAAATTTTTCCATGAAACATTGTATTTGTTTTGTTATGATTAATATAGTGTCTTCCAAATCTGTGCAGAGTTCTTGAAATGCAAATTTTTAGATTCCATCATAGATATTTCATGAAGTAGGATGGAAGTAGGATCGAAGATTCGATGAAGTAGGATCCCTTCTGAAGTAGGGTATAGAAATCTATATTTTTAAGAAATTTATGTATATCATTATTTACAGCCAACAGAACTCAGCTTTTGGGACTCACAGGTTAATGGTACTGCTGTGATCTGGTTGTTATGTTACACTGGTAACAAGTGTCCATGATTTGCAGAACATAGTGAATGCGAGGCAGACCTCAAGGGAAGATTCAAGAGACAAGTGATAGGATTAGGGTCTTTCAAGGTCATGGAACTTCCATGACACTGGATTAAGTGGCATTTACCAAGAAGACCTGCCCAAGACTTCCATCCTGAGAACCACGGCAGCTAACACACTTCCAGATGTGTGCAATCCTAGTGTGTCTGTGAGAGGAAGGGCCTGTTGTGTGCGTGCTGATCTCAGGCTCACCATCATACTTACGGAGAAAATGACAAGTTTGATGAGAGCCTCTGTTCTTATTAGCAAGGTATGCAGAAAATTCATAATATAATAGAAGGGAGAAGGTTACATAATAAAAACTTCAGGAAGCACTGGACCTCAATAAATTTAGCAACATCGGCAGTGCTTGGGTGGCTCCATCAGTTAAGAATCTGACTCTTCTTTTTTTTTTTTTTTTTAAATTTTTTAATGTCTTTATTTTATTTTGAGAGACAGAGAACATGTTGGGGAGGGTCAAAGAGAGAGGGAGACACAGAATCTGAAGCAGGTTCCAGGCTCTGATCTATCAGTACAGAGCCCGAAGCGGGGCTTGACCCCACAGACTGAGACATCATGACCTGAGCTGAAGTTGGATGCTTAACCACCTGAGCCACCCAGGTGCCCCAAGAATCCGACTTTTGATTTTGGCTCAGGTCATGATCTCACAGTTTGTGAGCTTGGGCCCTGAGATGGACTCTGCACTGACAGTGAGGATACTGCCCAGGATTCTCTCTCTCCCTCTCTCTCCTCCTCTCCCCTGCTCATGCTCTCTCTCTCTCCCCTGCCTGTGCTCTCTCTCTCTCTCTCTCCCCACCTCTCCTTCTCTCCCCTGCTCATGCGCTCTCCCTCTCTCTCAAAATAAATTAACAGAAAAAATTAAGAAAAATAAATTTGACAACATCAAATCCTATGACAACAGGGTAGAGTGATAATAGTAAACACACACTGGGTGTTTATCATGTATTGGTTTCCGAACTAAGCACTTAATGTAATTATTTTATTTAATTGATTAACACAGAAGAACCCTATAAGATATATATTTTTCTCCTCTGAGGAGAAAAGAGAAGAAAATGGAACCTCAAAGAGTGTAAGTTAGAGGCTACAAGTTACCTAGTTGCTACACAGCAGAGCCTGAACCTGAAAGTGCCCTGACTCCAGATCCCATGCACCGTCCATGCAGCAGAGAAAGAGGAGAAATGTCTGACAGGTGCTGTGCCATCTCCCAACATCAGCACCGTCATCACTGCTAACACAGAGTAGGCACCGTAAACAGGGTGCCAATCTTGTGTTGTCTCACCATTACCTCCATCTCAGAAGCACATAGCAAGAGAAGTGCTGTTCTGATTCCATTTTATAGGTGAGGCACAGGAAGACACAGGGTGATGACTAGCCAGGGTCATGAGGCTTGTAGGTGGAAGCACTGGGTGTAGCCCCAGGAAGTTGGGTCTCAGAGTCCACACTCTTATCCTTGAAGCTATACCCGGAGTATTTATGTAAGTATTGTGCCTGTAATAAATGACAGTGAGTTTTGAGGACCTGCCTTCCCCACAGGGTCTCCACTTCACTGGGTGGAAGATGTGTTTCTTCAATTTACCCATCCCTTTTGTGAAGATAGTATTTGTAAAAACTCATTGACATGTTATGCCTTTGCAATCCTTTTCAGATTATCTCCTGCTGTGAAAGAACTGTCGAGTTATTACATGGAGCACAGTGCCTTAAACTCTTCTGTAAGACACCCTTTGGGGAATCAGCACTGATTATATATTCAAAGAAAAAGTTTCTTGCAGAGCCTTGGCAGAATGAACTCATTTTGTTGGAATATGATGCTGGATTGGCTGTGTTGCTTTCCTGTGTCTCACATCCATGACCTCCTGCATCCGTGTGTAGGCAGAAGTCTGTGAGGGTGGGGAGAAGGATGCTACCAGGCAGGCAGAGAACCCAAGTGCCTGAAATGGTTTTTGATGGCAGCTCCTATCCTGCAGAGATGTGCAGCGCATGCTGGCCCCTATTCCTTGACTTCTGGAGGGGAGCAGGCTGGTCATGGGCGTGTGGCTGAGGACACTATAACAAACAGCTCCTTGACCAAATATTCGGAGACTAGGATCCATCAAAAAGTTTATTTTCACCAAATGCACTATTACAACAATTCCAAGCATGTCTGTATCTTATGATACTCTACTATGAATTAGCTTTGTGGGAGAAGACCTGAGTCTATTTCCCTTTCCGAACACAGGGAGACAGGCTGAGGCAATATGATTATTTGCACAAGCATAATGTTCCCTCTTAATCCTCTTGGCTTGTGGTGGCTTCTGTGGAATGGATCAGTTAGCTGTAGTCTGTCTCTCATCTTTGCATCAAGTACATTCCAAATTTAGCTGGAGTTTCAATTTTTACTATGACTCAATGAGATTTACTCTGCTTGTTCTGTATTAAAAAGCACCCTAGGGCGCCCGGGTGGCTCAGTCCGTTAAGCATCTGACTTCGGCTCAGGTCATGATCTCATGGTTCATGGATTCGAGCCCTGCATTGGGCTCTGTGCTGACAGCTAGCTCAGAGCCTGGAGCTTGCCTGCGATGCTCTCTCCCTCTCTCTGCCCTTCTCTCACTTGCACCCCTGAGTGCACTTGCTTTCTCTCTCAATAAAAAAAAAAAAAAAAAATCAGCCATACCCCTGATTCCCCCAGAGCATGCTCTACTTTTCCTTTTTTCCCCACAAAATTTATCACTGCTATATAATTTACTTATCATTTTTAATGTTTATTGCCTTTACCCAACTGGAATGTAAACTCATGAGTGCAGATTTCTTTGTTTTGTTCATTGAAACATACTAAACACATAGTATGTAGGTAGTTAGTTAAGTGACTAATAAACAATGGCTGAATTCTTTCCCTTAAAATCAAGCTTTGATCAAGTCTGATTAGAAAGCAACCTGTATTTCTGGTTTTGGAACTAAATGTACTTTCGTTAAAGTGTTTTCTTGCCTCCAAATTTGAAACTGATAGGTATAGTGTAAAAATCATCCAAGCCTTACCTTGAAAGCCATTTTTAAAATCGGCTCCATTGGGTAAGAGATCTGGTATGTATTCACCGTAGCCACCTACATAAAACTGACTCATGACGTTGAGACCAACCAGTCTTCCTGGGGAGGTGATGGATTTATTTTTATGATCATCTACCTTCAAAATGAAAAGAATTCAAAATCTATTAAAAAAAGGAATTAATTCCCCAGGGTGAACTGTTAAGATACTGTTTTGTTATTTCCCATTAACTTGGCATGAAAAATTCACAAAGACTTGAATTTTGAAAAAATAAAAACACCTCACCACTGTATTCTTTGCTTCTCTGCTGGTGTCTGTTACCATGGATATATTAATATAGCAGTCATGGTTTTGCATTTCAATCAAAATCACAGTTCTCCAAAGATTCGGAACTAGCATCCCACTGGTCTTTCTCCATCTAACCTTGCCCCTCCTCTTCCATTCCCGTACAACCACCAGAGTCATTTATCAAAAAAAGTCAGTTGACTATGGTACCCAAACCCCTTCTTCAATTTCTCAGTAGCTCCCCATAGCTTTTGATAAAAATTTAAACTTTTTAGCATGACATCTAAGTCCTTTGGTAATATAGATCTGGTCTACACTAACCACCTCTTTTGCTCCTCCCTACCCGAAAACCACAATGAATTACTCACATTCTTCAGGCCCACACTGGGCACTGTTGTTTTTCTGAACATTCATTTGCATTTATACTCAAGCATCACCCTTCAGGGGGAGCATTTCCTGAGCCCTCTCTCACCTTATCTGTGTTAGTCATCCCTCTTACTTATCCCCACAGCACTTAGTTACAAGCACGCTTCTAGTCTTCGGCTGCATGCACTCATCTGTGAACTGCAAGGGAGAGGCATGGACCTGTTTGCTAGCCTCCACTACACAGATCTCACGATATATGGTAGTGTTTGGCAAGTCTCTGGGACAGATGAAGGAATGACATTTTACCTTCAGCCAGCCCATGTGGAAGAACCTCCCCAGACGGACCGTGTGGATGCCAAGGCTCAGGTCAAGGGGATCACTGCTGATACTTGCTGTGCCTGCTCCCAGGTTGTAAGTGTAAACCACACTGCCCTCGCACAGACCCACGGCCAGGAAGTCACCGCTGTCCAACCCTGTGATGAGAAGATGTGTGGGGCATGCTCACTGAGAGAAAATTCAGGAGTCTAGTCAGCTTCACTTTACTGTCTACTTCTGAGGTATAGAGAGCATTCACAAGTTATAGCAGACATCAAGCCTCTCAAGGGCACTCAGGCATGTGTGCGTCTGAGTATTGTTATTCACACCCCCAGAAACTGTCTGAACACTAAGAGTTTTTCTTTGAAGCCGCAAGGGTTCTGGTCAACTCAGGGGAATGATCAATATGTAAAAAGTTGGTATTAAAATCTCCTTTTTGTCTGAATGAAATTCAGTGTGCACTTTACAATAAATAGAACTTTACAATGGAATAGAATTGCTCTGATAGTTCAGAAGATTCAAAAGATTGAGATAACCTGGCTTCAGCTTTGAAATTCTATGATTTGAAGAGTTTTGAAAATTTTATTTTCATAATTGCTCAGGATATGCTGTAACTGTTCTATTACAAAAGCTCCTGACCATTTTCCCAATGACGTTTTTAGAGGCAGGTTGTTTTTGTGTTCCCCTTTCTCATTCTCTCTCCACTAGTTCAGGACCAGTGAATTGCAGGACCCAGAGCACTCAGGATACAGCTCATATAGACCCATGGAAAAAGGGGCATGTGGTTGGGAGAGACCCAGCGTCAGGCACTGGAGGAGGGTCGTGGCAGTGTGTCTGGTGGCATGAGGAAGGTTGGAGATGGTCAGCAGTGTAATTTCTGGCATGTGAGCGAACACCCATTGGTCAAGGCAGAGCTTCTTAAGCTAGGTGGAGGCAAGAGATCTGTCCACAGGGAGGAGGGACCCAAATATATTGTCTAATTTCTGAAAGCTGTGTTTGTGGACCTTAACACTAAGGTTTGCAGGTAGGAAACTGAGGCGAGGGCTTCTGCTTGGAGGAAGAACTTATGGCCTGATAGAAGTAAGAGGTTTAATCATGCGGCAAAGAGCACAAGTGAGTCCTTGGACAGAGACAAAGTTTGTTGTGAGTATTCACAACCTCCCTCTCCTACATTTCTTTCTTTTTTTTTTCTTAGTTTATTGTCAAGTTGGTTTCCATATAACACCTGGTGCTCATCCCAACAAGTGCCCTCCCCCATGCCCATTACCCCCCTTCCCCACTCCCCCACTCCCATCAGCACTCAGTTTGTTCTCAGCATTCAAGAGTCTCTTATGGTTTGCCTTCCTCCCTCTCCTCAATGATTTTTCCCCTTCTTCTCTCGCTTCATCCTCCATTAACTTCCTCCTAATCCACCTATGTGTGCAAACATATGGTATTTGTCCTTCTCTGCCTGACTTATTTCACTTGGCATGACACCCTCAAGTTCCATCCAGGTTGCTACACATGGCCAGATCTCATTCTTTCTCACTGCCATGTAGTATTCCATCGTATAGATGAACCACATCTTTTTGATCCATTCGTCAGTTGATGGACACAGACTTTCCGTGTTGTGGCTATTGTTGAGAGTGCTGCTATGAACATTGGGGTCCATGTGCCCCTATGCATCAACACTCCTGTATCCTTTGGGTAAATACCTAGCAGTGCTATTCCTGGGTTATAGGGGAGTTCTATTGTTAATTTTTTGAGGAACCTCCACACTGTTTTCCAGAGGGGCTGCACCAGCTTACATTCCCAGCAACAGTGTAGGAGGACCTCTCCTACATTTCTAAGAGTGATACCCTGTATGTTCCCTTGGCTTCTGTTGTTAGGCTAAGCAAGGTAAAGGAGACAGAGATCTGCAGGGGTGAGGGTTTCCAGATAGTGTAGGAAGGCAGGTTTCCTAAGGCACTGGAAAGTGGAAGACAGAAATATTATTTAGAGATACTTGAACTCTACCTGAGCTTTTCTAATGAGTCTACCATGGGCCCTGAACTGGGTTATTTTGGGAGCTCCTTAGGTGAGTGTAATATGCAACCAGGGTTGAGAGTCACTGTGTTAAGTGTCATACCATTGCCTAAACATGCTGGGAACTCAGTAAATCTCGTTCTCCCTCTCTCAGGCGATTTCTTCCCACCTGCAATGTTGCAGTGGGTTAGCTGGGTTATAAAGTAAAAATGGGAAGAAGTCCCAGGAGAAAACAGATTCAGAAAGGCAGTTAGACAGAAGTCAGAGAAAAACCACAATTAGAGATTGGAGAAGTCTTTCAGGCAGCGGTTGGGCTTTAAAGCCACAGGGAAAGAAGGCTGAAGACAGAATTGTAAGAGACTTTTTTATGGGCTATGAATGGAGATATTTTTGAGGCATTCTAGTGGGCATCGGAACTGTCTTTTCAATTGGTCCAATTTTTGGACTGGAGATGGTATTTTGCCAATGGAGCTTGTGGTAGGATAGTGATTTATTGGAGCCATATACTTCTCTCCTTGTTATTCCTTTTCCTTGAGTCATGGAAAGCCTCTGTCATGCCAGGAACAACATGATCCTCCAGGCCCTCACAGCCTGGCTGGGAAGAGATGGGAGGCAGTCATTATGCCCACCATCATGTCCCAGAGAATACAAGCAGGGACACACCAACAGGTGGGGAGAAGCAGAGCCAGGGAGCTAATCAAACTGTCAAGCAGATGATAGCATCTTATTTACACTCCATGGGTCCATCAGGGGTGTTTTCCTTTTCTCTGACACACCTTCCCTTCTAGGCCTTTCCTCAGTTGTAATCCCTGATGGCGGGTGATGGAGTAGCTAAGAGAAAGGAAAGCAGCTGACTACCATTGCTGGTGAATGTTATTTCAGGGAGTTGGAAGTACTCAAGGTTAATTTTTGCAAACCTGAGAGTCCATCACAGTCACTCTAGGAGCTTGTCAGAAATTGATTCTAGGGGTGCCTGGATGGCTCAGTCGGTTAAGTGTCTGACTTTTGATTTAGGCTCAGGTCATGATCTTGTGGTTCGTGGGTACAAGCCCCTGTGTTGGGCTCCCTTTCTCTCTGCCCCTCCCTGCTCATACTCTTTCTCTCTCTCTCAAAATAAATGAATTTTAAATAAACTTTAAAAACCCAGAAATAGATTCTAGATTTACCTTATGCCCCTGTGGGAGAATCTTTGATGCTAGGTCCTGGAAGTGTGTGTGTGTGTGTGTGTGTGTGTGTGTGTGTGTGTGTGTGTGTATGTATTTTTAACAGCCTTCCCATCTGTTTGTTTATCAGACCTGACTAATATTAATAACTCTAGGAAGGCCAAGTCACAGGACCCATCTGTCACATAGGGCTTTGTGTTCAGAAGGGACTCAGGTTTGGTTTAATGCTCTGTTGTCATTTTTTGAAATTCTTTGAGCTGAAGGTTAAATCCATGTGACAACAAAGTATGAGTGGAAACAGAGGCATTACATACATGCAAATGCATGTTTGTTGTTTCTTGCCACCCCATTCACATGTAGTGTTTGTGAACAGAATTCCCCGAATACTGTTTAGTGAGTTTAGTGAGACTCAAAATGAGTACATGGTAAGTGTGTTGCTCTAAAGACTGAGTAGGGATGATGCTGACCACCCCTAAGAGGTTATGCTTTCTGCTTGAACCACAGCTTGCTTCCAGCAATGGAAAGGCAATGGTGATCTCAGAAACTTGAAAGACCAAGGGGCTTAGCCTTCCTTTCTTACTTTCATTATTTCCCTGCATTGGCTAATCACTTACACTGAAAATGGTGACATCAAAGGAAAGGGGGAGAGAGGGAGGCCCACGGATACCTTTCTTTTCATTCTTTCCTTACACACCAGGAGGCCGAGGGGAAAGAGTGTTGACAGAACGTGGGGTGAAAAAGAAGCAATTGACTTAATTTTGTGCAGGATCTCCAGTGTTCTGGTAAGGAAAAAAATACATGTGCAGGTACAAGCTCTAAAATACCAATTGTGTAGTTTTGGTGATTCTGCATATGGGTTAAATGCTCTTACATTTGCACTTAAACTGGCACAAATAGCAACTAAAAGACACCATAAAGGTTGAGAGACCACTGGGGTAATGAAGTACTTTCTGTTACCTTTTTTTTTTTTTTAAAGATTATTTACTTTGAGAGAGAGAGAGGGAGAGTGGGGTCGGGATAGAGAGAGAGGAAGAATCTCAAGCAGGCTCTGCACTAATAGTGGGACTGGAACTCACAAACTGTGAGATCATTACCTGAGCTGAAATCAAGAATCAGGCTAAAACTGACTGAGCCACTCAGGCACCCCTTTCATTACTTTTTAACAGCATTTTTTCTTTGCTTTTTCAAAAAGGGACCCTGAATTTTCATTCTCCAATGGGCCCCACAAATTACACAGCCTTGCCTGAGAGGGGCCCTTTGTTGCCTTCATAAAACAAGCTGGGAAAGAAGAGAAATGAAAACAAGATTGACCTGTGCATCTGAGGCTGTTGGGAGGCTTTGTAGGTAGAAGAGACTTTAAGACTTGTGGGGGCAGATCTGTGTCGGGGCTCAGGGGGTAGTGCTGATGCACACACGGGTCCTCAAAGGTCATATAGCTGCTAAATTGTGCTCTTAACCACTGTCTGTGTAGCAGAGAAAGAGGAACATGTATCTGGCTGGAGCTGTGTCCCCTTCCATCACCAACCCTTCCTGAATGTTCCTCTCTGAGGAATAAAGGGAATAATAATATCTCTTAGGAGTTTCCTAAGGTTTAAGTGATATTTAATGACCTAGCACATAGTAGCTTCTCACTAGATCTGTGTTTTTCCTTTTCCCCTTGACTATGGGCTGACCTTAGCTTTGTGTATCCCATTTTCTTCTGCTGCTTCATTAATACAAAGCCTGGGAAGCAGGTACTCCTGGTCCCTGGACTGTGACCCCAAATGGACAACAGTGGAATTTTTCTTTTTCTTATTCTTAAAGCTATAGTCCTTATTGCCTCAGTGCATTATTCTGATCTAAGTAAAATTTTGTGGAGGGTCAACGATGGAGGTGAAGTGAAGTGACTTGAAAGTATGGTTTGTTAGCATCCATTTATATGTCTTATGTCACTTTCCTGTAATTTATTGAAGTGAAAATTTCTTGCTTTTGAGCACATAATACTATAAACA